AATTGCAGCTGCTCTTGTTATACACGCGCACAGTCATTCAGGATTTACGCTTTTCTATTTTCATAATTTTCGTGTAAATTAAAAAAACAAAATTGAAATCCCCCTGTATGATGCACCGTGCATTGAAATCCCCCGATATTCTTTGAGCTCGTTCACATTTTGTTGGAAATTTCCAGGCTTTCATCCCGTTTTTTTTTTCCATACATTTCCACCGTTGAATTCGAGCGTCACTCCATATAGTTTAGCTGTTTGTATTTTTTTCCCCTCTTTCACACGCGGAATGAAAAAAATACGATTGGACCGGCTGCCAGAAAGACTCACCGCACGGTCCGGTGATCTTGAATGCAAATATATTGCATTCAATTGGGGGATGTAGTGGCGGTGGTTGGATGGATTGTTTCTTGTTGACTTTCGATTCCATTCTAATGTCAAAATATTCACCGAATTCCGGGGAAATTCGAATATCCGGAATAACCCTCGCGGCAAGTTTGCGGCACAAACTTTTAATCCATGGCATAATTCTCTTTCCTTCAACGGGAGATAATTGATCTCGACTGCCAGCTCCAGACGTTACTGTGATGACAATCGCCGGCATTAATACGAATATTTCGGGTACGTGAATGCGTCTGAGGTGTACGAATTATTATCTCTGTCGTACCGTGAATGTACACAAGTTTACCTCGGCCTTAGTGCGCAGGGGGGTATACACGTGCTACATTCTCACGAGACGCCGGCGCCCGGGTGTTGATGTGATATGCGCGCGCTCTGGCATCAATTAATGCAACGCGGTGCACAGTAGTGTGACGGTGCATAGAACCATGTAGTAATGCTGGTATGTATGTACAGTAGCTGCATGACTGGATTCCCAATCCATCCCATTGTGAAATTATTCAATAAAGAATGTCCGGACTAATGTAGGGGCTGTGTTTCCGCAGATTCTTCAATATACGCGAAAATTGACATCTTCGCTCAATTCTCGCGGGATTTTCCCATTGAACATTAGATTGACGAAAAAATCAATAGAATTCCGAAAAAAATATAATGAAATGCCTTGTAGATTCGTGGACTGGAGCACCACATTCCCATTACCCGTGTGTCTTCCCAGAGTAGAATAAAACTCCAGTAAATATCAGGAGAAAAACGATAAATAAAATATTGAAATTGCGATAAATCACCGTTAGCTCAACGGGAGGTGAAATAAAGGGTGAGAGAGATGGGGGAAGACACATTGGTCCTGAACGGGGCGATGCGGGGTAAGAAATCGAAGGGAGAAAGAGTGAAGAACGGAAGGGATGAATAAGGATTCCAAAGAGTGGTTGTGCTGGAGTCGGCGCCTCAACGTATTCCCACCATAAACTTATGTCGTCGGAGGTATGTGTTGGTCCAAGTGAAGGGTGAAGAGGAGGAATAGGAGGGCTGGAATTGTCGAGGTGGCCGTAATCGAATCGCCACCATTTTTCCAATGTTTGTGGCGGACCGACGGCGCCAGCTGGCCGCACCAGCATCAGTGTCCTCCCATTCCTCCTATTTTCCCCAGGACTTTGTAACACTGTATTGGGGATGGTATGGTAGTCTCGCTGAAAGCACCCAGAAATGCGAATTGACGTTTGACATTTAATTCCCAATGGGATTTAACGTGACTCCGCGGAATCAGGAACTACCCTCAGTGGTCAGCGATATCCATGCAGTGGCATGAAAAAACGAACAGAAAATATGAATGGAGAGAGTGAAAAAAAATCAGAGGAATTCAAAAAGCAGTAGAATTTTTTGTTTCAAACACATTTTCGGGCTGTGTTTTTTAATAAATAGGTAGACCGACACAAAAGCGGAGAAAAGCCGAATGCAATGTTATTGCTAAAGGAGAAAGAAAAATTTCAAAATTCCCGAGTGAATGAGAAAAAAGTATGCGCCAGAGGAAGAAAGAAAAAAAAGGCAAGTTACTACTCTCTCACGAAAACTCCCAGGCGGAACATGACGCGATCTTCTGCTTCTTTCACGCTTTTACGTAACCTTATACTTAACTCTCTTCTTACCCAACGTTGGAAGAAACTTTTTCTCCGCAGAATGGAAACGGAATTTTATGATAGATTTATGAAAGAAGGAAAAGGAGATTCCCGGTGACTTGTGTTGTTTGTGTGTACCTACTCCGGGGGTTAAGTTTCGTCCCATTCTTCGATTGGAGTTTGAATTTTCGGTTTAACCATGATTAATGTTCATAGATAAAGATTCCACCATTGTGCCCGTAGCTTTACACAATTTATTTGATTTTTTTTTAAATTCCTATCGTCGCGTAACAGGAGAAACTCGATAGCACAGGGGATTTATTAGATTTCAAACGGCGATAGCACTTGATGACACATTCCGTTTGCACCGATATCATCAAATATCAATTGTCACTGGGTGATAGGTGGTGAGAGCGCAGCGGAAAGGGTTTGAGTACATGTGTGTGTGCCCCAGAATTAATTCCCGAGTTTCAATTATTTCGCCAATTAGCCCTGGTCGGAATCCATTCGGATCTAATCCGTTAGTAAGCTTTCCATCTCCTTTACCCACCTCTCTTGTATGTCTACTATATATCCACGTATATACCCAACCATCACTAAAACCCATAGTCAGTGCCTAGTGAGATCCAGGACTCTGCTGGTATCCCAAACCCATGGGAAACAGAGGAACTGCATTTGCTTTGGAACATTCGACAAATTAGTTGCGTTAGTAATGGCGCCAAACCCCCATTGAACATTCCAACTCTGCGTTCCTCCATATACACGAATCTCTTGGATCATACCAGAATGAGAATACCTTCTCCACTAGATTTTTAAATATAGAATTTTGCCCTATCCTGAATTTCAATGAACTATCTCGTCCTATGGTCTGGCGTAATCCACTGCTCTAAAAATCGTGGGATCAAATTGCCGGCAAATATACCCCAATTTGTTTTAGCGCATCGTTCGCTTTTCCGGAATTGTGTCATTTGTCAGAGAACGTCAACATTCCAATCCTATTTGTCATTAAAAGCCTTTGAGTTTTGATGACGTAATGAATAGTTATTGAAGTCCATTAGAGCCTGTCTGCCCATAAATCATCCACTGGAGAGGATGGCAGTGTTGATAACTCTTATCTTCCATCGAATACATTGATTGTTGCATCGCCCCGAGGCTACCTGATAGCTTATTCAATTTCCGAATCATCTATTCGGTATTCGATTTTCATATCATCCGCTCCTGTCTTCACCCATCATTCATCCATGCTTTCTTACTGTACCCAAGCATCAGAAAACTTCGAATCATCGTCCATTATGCTATTATCTGGAGAACGATCAACGATGATCATCCAGAAGTTGGGAAACAAAAATTAATTTGTCGTTTTATCACTAGTCAAGCCGGATGACTATCGCAGTCCTATCCTGATGACATTAAGTAACACACACACACATACACGCACACAAACATAGCACCAGTTGACGACATTTGCCATTGTGCAATGTCCGCTAAACTTGGCCAGGACGCGTGAATAGCTGAGGGTGTAGGTTAGAACTATAAAGGCTGGTGAGGAGAGGCAAGGAGGGTAAGGGGACGAATAGGAAGGGTGGCAAAGCGTATCTCAATTCCGGTATCTACGGACACCCCGCCAACGTTACCCTGACAACGAGGCCAACAACAAACGCCTAATGGCCGGTACTCGAGTCAAACTTTAATTTCCTGGCCGGCCGGACAGTGCTTAAAGCGATCTACCCCTTTAGCTTTGGCTTTCGCGATTCCAACGACACAATTCTCCCATCCTTCTTTGCATCCACCCCTGGGGCCCCACACCGTACTACTGTTTCAAACACGTACAACAAAGATAGCTGACCATAGAATATTAAGTACCACTAATGGTTCTTGTAGTTCACGTCTTTACACCGCGCAAATTATGACGCTAAGGATGATATTGTATCTCAAATAATCCACACAAATTTGAAAACATTGGAAAGCGCAAGAAGTAACCAAGCTGTTTGGTGTTTCGATCATGTTGTGCGCCACAATGCAGTACGGTTGACATGCAGTTTCTCGATATGATCATGCACCGGTAGAATAGTATTGGGAAAGAAGGGGAAATACCCGGTTGATTTTCCGTAGCAAATAAAGCACACAGCCCGGAGGTATCCACAGGAGGAATGAGTTATAAATCCCACGGATGTTAGAGTGGAACATTGGATGCATACAAACGCGGACAAGAGAGACACAGGATAAGTTGGTTGGGGTATCGAAGAATATCCTGAGAATGGAACGGTACCTCCCTCGTGTCATGAATCATGCATCCCTTATATTGGCGAGCCCTTATCCTCGCGGGGTTAAAACGAGAGGAGTCTTTTGCCCACAAGTGATGTCCTCTCTTGTGGATAGAACAGCATCTCGTCCTACGACGAATAAACAATGTTATTTGTTTTTTCTCTCTGTTGTTGGGTTTCTGGTGGCATTGGACACTCCTGAGGGGGTGTAGACGAGGGTCTCTTGCCTGTGGGGAATATAGACGCCTAGAACCTGGCAAGCTTTTGACTATATGTATAAAGGATGGGTTGGCGAAGTTGAAGCCCCCCTGGGCAGACTGCTGGCAATACTGCCACTGTCAGCACCAGAAACGTCCGCCAAACCACGGTTAACGTACTATGGAGGTTTTCACTGACAAGGGCTGGACGTTATGGACACGCCATTTCTACCGTCCCTCACTGCTCAACCCTAACCTCCTCCCTCCTTTCACTGTATTTTCCCTTGTACAATCCTCATATTGCCTACTTCACTTTTCCTCAGTGAAGTATACCAACAAATAATGACGCCTACCCATCGTCTCAAGGATTTCCCCAGGTTGTCTCATGTCAAAGTTTGAAAAACTCGAGAGCCAAAAGAAATCGGCGATTTTAAGTGCTGCAAGTAGCGACCAACTTTGTCCTTCCGAAATCCCCTTCACGTCACCATCTTTCCAATCACGTGAGATCTAACAAATTTTTATTTTATTTTTTTCAGATGAACCGTCCTATTCAAGTCAAGCCGGCGGACAGTGAAAGCCGCGGAGGTGAGAAATTCGGCTGAAAATTAAAGCCATCTACGCACCTTCATTAACAAATTACCGAATCACTTGTTCATTATCATCGTGTAATTATATCGAAGTATAGTCTTCAGTCGTAAATAAAGCTCATTCAAAATTAATAACCGAACTAGTATATTTGGCATTAATATTTCACAAGCGTAATATCGAGGTCCAATCAATACTTTCTGCCGAATAATCCACAAGAGCCTAATTGTAATTGCCTGTTTTTACAATTCGGAGATGAAAAATCGTAAACTATTCTCATCACCCACATCTTGAGCGTTTCTCCTCAATTTCCATATCATTTTATTCTCTCTTATTTTCTTTTTTATTCTTTTTCTTCTTTAGTAATGCTTTACTCCCCTCCCTTCTCCTTTACTACACATACATTCTGCATCATCAGTGGAATACGGCCCTAGTACCCTAAATATCTCATCTCTCTGGTTTTGGAGCCAAGCCAGCGAGTTTTATACCCCACTTCTTCCCCTACCCCATCCGGTGGCTGATTGAATCGTTTCGAGAGGGCGGCAAAGATTGAGAGGATTCCAGAGTATGATCGTACCTCGATATAACCAATTCTCTTTTTTTCTTTCAAGCATAAATATATCATTATGCAGCATAAATATTTAATTTTTTATCCAAGAGTGAGGCAAATTGAAATTTAATGCAAACTTCAAAAACAAGTTAAGTGTATTAGCTTGGATTGTGTGACTGTGAATCATTAAAAAGTTAAGAGTATCTTACAGTTTGACACAATTACATTATTCAACAAATATCGTACCACCGCTAATTCTTTCATTATTTCTGTGATATCTATTGAAAACACGACGACTTTGTTTTTGCAGTGCAAAAAGGAATATGAGAAAATTTCTTTCGGCTATATTTTAACTTTTATTTATCTCTACATTCATCCGGCACGAAAAAAAAAAATACGAGAGAAGTTCTTTCATTTTATTGATCCATATTACTGTGAAGCGTCTGCAGAAATGATTTATCGATAAGCCTTAGGGTTGTACTATATATTATATCCCCAGGGACAGTTCTGCTCGTGGCGTCAATCCCCTGAGAAATAGACTTGAAGCCTCTTTTGCAATGTAGATCTTACGAATGACTTATAAAAGTCCACGATAAATCCATCAGTACGGAATAGTAATAATAATAATAATTTGTCACGAATAAAGTAAAAGCTGATAAATTACAATTCTTTACAGAGGTAAAAAATACCTCAAAATGAAAATTATATTCTTAATACCACCTAATAAGATAAGATAGTGATAAAATATGAACTAAGGTAATTATGGACGTATTCGCACGGACGGAAGTTGTTATTCATTATTCCGGTGTTATTAAATTATGATTGAAATTTTATCCGCGGTGGATTTCTCTTAGAATTCAAATCCCAATCCTTCCCTGACACTTTCTCGAAATTCAGTCATCTCCACTTTGCCCAGTAGTGGGCCAACATCACCAGCAAGACGATTCCGCGCCAATCGGTGACATTTACATTGGGGGATAGCGGGTAATACTCGACGTTGAACCCCTCGATTCAGCTCGTCGGGTTAGAACGAGCTTGCACGAATGGCGGAGGTCAAAACCGAGGGTGGTTATAAGGGTGGCAACTCCTAATTCATATGCTAATCTCGACGAGATGCCATTGTAATCTCCGGTCGCCATGGACCCCTCTCTACTCTCGCCTTGACGTGCGGATGCGGGTAGAGTGATCCACCCGATTTACCTCCTGTCTCCACCCCCTTTCACCCCATCTCACCTCCTATACTCGAGAGAACGTATCTCATACCATCTTACTTTGTATACCTATGCAGATTCTTGGGTTCTGACCCCTGTGCAACATTGAAAATTCAATTTGGGTTCATTGAACTTTTTAAAGTCTCACTTGAAACTTTCCATCTGATGATCTCTACTTTTTACATTATTGTGCATCACTTTAACCGTTTTCCATTTTGAAACTCCATGTTCAGGTCAGCGCATTTTCAGTAATAAGTATTTTTTTGAAAATTCAGTCGTCAGGGAGTTAGGAGAATTCATAATCGTCTGATCTTGAATTTCTGAAATCTAATGAGATCATTCCGCATCACGCGAATGACAACTCGGGGTCTTCCAATTAGAAGAAACGACTCTTTCCGAGAACTACTCCCAGATTAATTTCTCTGCTTAGTATTCCGACTTTTTCTGATTCCGCACTATAAACTCAAATTTCATCACTCCCTGGATATCACTCTGACTTTCTTGCATTAATGCCTCCGGCCTTTATGGATGTCGTTGCCTCGAGAGTATTCAATGGCTGAACAGCTTAATTACATCATTTACAGATCTCTTCAAGTGAAACAGTTGCACATAATTCTAATGGGCTCTTAATTCCGAGGAAAGGAATGTCCTCTCAGGTGATACAAAAGACGAGTAGACACTTTAATGACGGCATATCGGATAGATCCTTCGTTACACCGGACATAACCTCAGAGATGACCGCGTAAAAAATTATTTCATTACCACCAAATTTCGTTGTGAGAGGAACACAGCGAACGACCGGTGTAAATCCCAAGGAAAATTCGAGCTCATATAAAGACCAATAATTTCCGTTAAATTAAGACAGAAATAGTGAAATCAATGCCAATGATTGAGAAAGAAGTTTGAAGATTATTTTGTAAAGATCATTGGATGAAATCTTTACGGGGATGGAATAAAAGCACTGGTAGAGATACGGATTGAGTAGTACATTGGGAGTGAGAAGTTTTGCGAGAGGGGAAGTAGAGTGAGAGCCAGAGAGTTCAAGCTTCTCAACTGGATAAGATGAGTGTCGGAGTCTAGTGCTAGTACTAAGCGTCAGTTGAGCAAGTAGATAAGTTTCGATGCTCCAGCGGTAGCGGGGGTTGTAAGGGGTGTAGCAGAGGATTTTGCCCTCTCCTTCTACACATTCCGACAGTCACTCCGTGTACTCTTATAGATACCCATAACCCCTTCTCCACATTTCGCTAAAGATAAACGCATCTCTCTTCACAGACGGCTGATATCGAGCCATCGTTATCCCGACCTTTGGTTGCCACAAGCTTCAACTTTCTTCGGCTCCCCATATACACGAAAATTTTCTTACCAGTTTCTTTCAGTTTATCCCCAAGGGAAGTCGAGGGTCATAAAACTGGGGAAAAGTTGGTGGCGGTGAGGAGAAAAAGGAAAATCGTGATCCATATTTTCTGCTGATGAGTGCAATATTTTTTTGCGGGTTGTGGTGAAGATTGTGGATTTTTTGGTTAAACTTTTGTTTTTCATCATCTCTGTAACGCAGTGTGGAGGCAAATCAAGGCCTCAAGCGGCTAAAAGTGCTGACGTAAATATTAAAGTCACCAACACCGGGTAGCCCACGAAGATTGCTCCCACGTCAGCCTTATTTTACTCCTATCCATCCCATCATCCTTCACTTTTTCCTTCCTTTTGGTCACCCATCTCCACCGCTTGTGGACGTTTGACTTCCACAAACGTGCTTAAAACTTTTTTCTCACCGTCAAGAGGGTGAATGAGATGGGCGAAGGAGGCGAGGTGAAGAAGGGAAGAAAAAAGATGTACTCGCTCGAGATAATTTCCCGTGGGCTAATTTTTATTTTCTCCGGGCTTTGGCGGTCACCGGGCGTTGAGCGCGAGTGAGAATCTCCTTTGCACCATTTGTTATATCAACTTTTAACAGTGGCTTCAAACTTCTTGCCTTATTTTCCACCACCAGCACTTAATTGATATAGCCGAATAATTTGAAATAATTTGAAAATTAGAGAAGAGTAATCGTGTTAACTTATCACACTATATATTATCGAGAAAGGAATTCTTTTCAATTGATTAAATAAAATGTCATGAGAAAACCTGACAGTCGGACCGACGAACGAATGCGGAGTGTGAACCTTTATCAAACTTTATTGTGATCAAGTACGAGGTACTACACTAGGAATGAAGTGCTACTCCGTAAAACGAAAGAGCTATGGAATTGGGTGAAATTGTAAAAAGACAATGTATCCACCGCAATAATATCTCATCAGAGCGCCATAAAAATCAGATAAATGGAATGAATAGGGTCGAACCGAACTTAAAAGGTGAGATCTTGGTCCAATACTCCTTACTACCAGTTGAAATGGCAGGATAAGAACGGAAAAGTGGGTATGAGATGTAAGACTTGAGAAAAGAGTTCTGGGGGGATGGGTTTGTAAGGGTGTAAGACCGTCGGTGCAAGTCAGCCGAGAATCTAATTTCCCGAGACAAATCCTTAAATGTGCCCTAGAGCCTCTAGCCGAGAGGGAGGTGGGTGTTACGCCACCTCGTGGAACGAACCACACCACCTACCCCTTACGCTCTTAGCTTCACTCTGATGCCTCTTTCTCTTCTTCTGCCTTTCCCTGCTGTACCTTGGGTTTGCTACTTCGGGTGGCACTACCTTTGGGATAAGTTATTACGCGTGTGAGAGAAGTGCCGTAAGGCAGGAGGCTTTTTGCCAAAGCTTTCTCATGAATCTACTATTCCTATGCTTCCTCCTTCCCCGCTCTCTTACTCACGTTTTACACAGTGGAGTCGAGAAAGGTGAGGGGACGGTTGACAAGGTCGAGAAGGAAGCGAATGAGATTCTCCAGTTTCTCTTTTTTTTCGGGTAGATATTTTTTCTATTACTTTTACCATCTCTGTGTCTCGATATTGCGTACTTTTCGCGGATATTTTTTTTATTTACCCTCGTGGAAGAGAAAAGCCCGAGAGAGGGAGGGGAGGGAGTGCACTCTTTGGGCTTTCACGAGATTTTATTTTTCACGAGAAAAACCTTGAGGGGCTGACTCATCCACTTCCCCTCCCTCCCGTTAACCTTTTCATCCCTTGTGCGACTTCATTTTTCTTCTCTCCTATTTTTAACGCTTCTCTCAGGGGTAAATTAACCGGAGGACACACCGCAAGAAAATAGATGAACAAAGACTCTTTCCGCCGTGCGATCGTCCCTGCGATGGTAAACATGTTGTTTTTTGCCGTTTTTTTTTTCACCATGTGAAAAATAGTGACGGGAGAAATAAAATGTAAATGTAAATGCGCAGAGTGTGGGTTATTAGAATATGATAAGAACATGTTGAGAAGAGTAGAAAAGTGAAAGGATCAAGAAAGAGAATAACAACGACGACCATTTGGTTATCTTTGGCCGAAAAACGCCATCTTTGTTTTTGTTCTGTATTCCAGAGTGCATGATGGACGACGGGAACGCCAGTGCCATCTTCTGGAAGTAGGAGGCACCGGTGGCGGCTGCTGAAGGTAACTTCGACTTCCAGGAGATAGCTAGCTTCCTTCCAACAAATATCCTACGTTCTTCTTCTTGTAAATCAGCATAATCGAAACCCCGATGATAAACCCATCGAGATAATCCCCAAATCGTTGCGTTTCGTCACCCCAGAGAATATTTAATCCCACTTCCCTGCCATTCCATCACTCAAAAAAGAAAATCTTCATACCCCCATGCACAACCAATACTTCACTGTTATTTTTCCCTCTTTTATCACCTTCATTACGACCCCCTTCACGCATATCCAACAATAAATTGGCATATTGAATCGAAATTTTTAAAAATCGATATTTGTCTTTTGGCGTAACCAAATTATTCCCAGCGAGTTCTATATGAAGCGTCGAGCCACAATCTGATAAATTTTCCAAGCAAGCCCACTCTGTCTCTTTTCTTTTCCTTTCTCCCGTCTTATTTTTTTGAAGAATTCATTTACACTCCAATACACGTACAATATGGCAATTGCACGGAAAAATCCCGTAGCAAAACTCTCTCATTATCTCCACTCTCCCCAACAACAGTGAAAAATTTTCCATCTCGATTGAGAGCCGGATCTTGAAGCCCGAACTCCGCGACGAATCCAGAGCCATTTGTATCAACCAAGTGAGGCCAATACTTTCTCATCCACGTTCGGTGCCATAAAAAAATGGTTCATCTTATTCCAGTAAGCCCATTGTCGTTTCGTTATTGTGACTATGTCCCCTATTTTGATTTTAACAGAGTTTTATTTCGTAATTTATCACTGTCTTTTCGTTACCATATATCATATTATATATATTAATATATATTTATTTATTTATTCCTTTAATTGCAAGTATCGTGTTGCGTGGATATAACTGACGAATTACTATCTCTCCTCCATTATCCCCGCGAAAAATCCCAGCAGTGAAATTGAAAAAAAAAATAGTGTGAGGAAGAACGATTACCCAAACACCGCCATTTTGTCATTTCACTTTCAAAGAAAAGAAGAAAAAAACAACCCCATACCCTGACCAATCCCTTTTTGCTCTTTTTTACAGCTGTGACCATATAGTGGCTCGCTCGTTGGATGTTATATTGTCTCGTTCGTTGTCGATGTGTTTTTGATATATTTATATCGATATTCATTATTATATGAATATAATATATATTTCACCTTATGTAAATATATTTTTATGATAAATATTCATATTAATATGATGTGAAATTATTTATATTATACACTTTGTCTTAATTGTAACTAGACGTAAATATAGTTGGAAAGAACCTTCTTCTCACCTAGGTTTCTCATTGTTTAGATATTTGTTGATTTATATTTTTGAAAATTGCACAAAAATCACGGTGAATTTTTATTTTATAATTAAGTATGAAGAAGGCATTGGAATTGTGAAAGCAGTTGAATATAATGATGCAGATATTTCTAAGACGATGGGAATCAAAATTATAACACGAAAAAATTATCGTACGACGGTCACGAATCACGATCTGGCAAAAAACTAATAAAAAATCGAAATACATGGAAATTTGGACGTGGAAGAGAACATTCCCGATTTGTTCATCATATGGTAATATGTAGGCAAAATTCTCTACGTGAAAAGTCTCAGCGCTCTTCAACCACAATCAGGCCCAACCAACATATAAAAAAAAACCGATAATTTAGAAATAGCTGCAGTTCAATAAACTGAGCATAAATATTCGTTGTCACGTGTTCGCACAATGGCGTGTGAGAAACCCACTGGATAGTGTCACGTTTCGATCGTCTAGGGATATATATCTCAAGTATTGCATTGCCCGACGTCAAAAATGCCAATAGACTTGAGTCATAAAAACACAAATGTACTACCGACGCTCGAAGCTGACACTCATCGCCACATTACCTCCCCCCTATATATTTCAAATTAATTTTATAAATAATTTTTATACGAGTTCATGTGCTATCCACCTACCCTGTTTTTATTGATCGGTTTGTGATATAGGTTTTTTTTTCCCTCCCCCCGGAAATTCAAGCCACTTTGTCTGACACATTCAATTCAATTACATAAATTACTATTACTTTGTCAATTGGTTTAATTAAAACCCGTCTTTCATCATTTTTTAATCCAATTATTTACGTTATTATTCAATTAATCACTAAAACTGATAACACACAGCCTCGCCGTGATGTTATAGATGTACGTGTTGGCATAATTCAGCGTGTCACGTGGCCTATATATTATTGTATTATATTGTAACAAACATGGGGTAGGATCATTCGTGTCACGTGTTTTACCCTGTAATGTACACACTGCACAATTAATTGGGTAGAATTGCGTGACGGGCGTGAACCCCCATGCCTCTCTTTAGTTTCATTGATTTACAATTACATTATTCCTCATTTTCCTTAACAATTCCTTCTTAGGATGGTGGATTGCTGGTGTTACCGTGTAACTTTGTCGTTCTCGGTGTTAGCAGAAAACCCGCTATTTTTCGTAATTTTGTTTGTCTTCAACTTTTGTTACTTCATTCTTACGTTCTGTATATCCTTTGGTTAGTCTATGGATCAGCTCTCTTTGTTTCATTATTTTGTCATAAATAAAGGCATTAACATTTATTGACCGTATTCACAAAGTAACAAAATAACTGATACCACAGAGTTTAGTACTAATGAAAAATCATTTTTCTTTCTCTGTTTTTTATATTTATTTCTACCCGACATGGCCAACATCATCTGCAGACAGAAAGCTGTTCGTGGGAATGCTCAGCAAACAACAGACCGAAGACGATGTACGACAGTTGTTCACTGCCTTTGGTACAATAGAAGAGTGCACTATACTACGTGGACCCGACGGTACGAGCAAAGGTGAGTGTCAATTCGTTCAATTATTCAAATTCTGAATGGGTAAGCACGATATGAAAATGGAACAGAGAGAAAAATTTCTTTAATCAAGAGGTTGATCAAAAAGGAGCAACTTGGTGAATGAACTACAACATTCAGAAGTTCTCTCTTATGTAACCCCTCAAGAAATACAATATATAGCGATAATATATGTCGTCGAGCGGAAACTGGAAGAAAGGCGAGGTAGTGCGTGTAGCGGTGGTAAGTTATTTCACTTGGCATTGGGATCTCTAATTAACCTCCCGCGAACAAAGATGAGTCAAGCCCAGGGCTCACATTCACCTTAATTTCAACCATTGCCTCGTAGCCATCCAGAATTCTGAACCAACACCTTCAGCCCTCATCTCATTCCCTTCTTATTTCTCTCACCAAACCAGTTCTTATGTTCACTTTCGGCATACAACCTCCGCACAGTACTCCCATACAAAACCGTCTCTTACCCCTGCTGATGACACACTCACTTCCGTATACTCTACTGCCTCTTTTGAGGTGAAACGATAAATTGGCTTCAACCCAAACCCCTATCTCACTCTCTACTCTAACCGTAAACTCTCCATGGCTACGACGTGCCTCTAATTTCCACCCAACTGACGAGAAGAGAGAGGCAAGAGCGAGAGGAGGGAAAACGATATTAACCCGGAAATTGCATCGGAGATCTTTGGGGATGAAGCCGCTGCGAGCGCTAGATTTGAGGTTATTTTTCATTCTAAAATGCTTTCTCAAGGTTTTGAGTACTTGTTTCACCTTTTATCGGGTTGGCCAACAGTGATTGAATGGGCCACCCTTCTACAACGTGTCACTCTCAGCAAATATGTATTGTAACTCTCCTCCCTCAACCTGATCAATTAAACTCGAAAATTTCAGAACATAATGCACTATCCCTGGAATAATATCTCACTACGAGAAAACTTTTCCTCACTAACATTTCATCACAGATTCGCAGCAGGATGTCCACGGTGATGCCCACCTCTTTTCGTACAACCCATGACAGCTACCTAGTTAGTTTCATAACTAGCTAATCCCCACGTTAATAGCGAGGATCGGGCTTCATGTATTCATTCAACTCCTCTTTTCACCTCCCCCGTCGACTTTTTCCACCATAAACTCGTAATATACTTTTCATGATGAAACTTTGGCAAAAAGAAATCATAACTCGTTATCATCTTGCACTTCCTCGCTTTTGAGACTTATCAAAGGTGCTTTTTTTTTTTCTATTAGACGAAAAAAAAGGTGGAAATTTGCGATTCAACGCTATCTAACCACTCTCTACCACCCCTTCCTCCATCTCTCTTTCCCAATTTGTACGGCGTCGTCGCAGTGTCTCAGAGATTCGTAAGAGGATCTGACAGTCATCCCTTCCTCTCCAGAAGCAGGGAGAGCTTCTTCCTCTTCTTTCCACCCACTTTTCGACGTATAACGACAAACTTCTTCCAATTATTTTGCTCTCGGGTTACCCCTCTACCCGGTATGTCTTCGGGAACATTTCACGAAACTCCACTTCAGACATCTTTTCCTATTTTCGTGTTTTCACCCTCTCTCGCTATTCGCCTTTTTCATCTCTCTCTCTCTCTCTCTCTCTCTGCATTTTCTTCTCCCGAGTTATACTTTCATTTTTTTTCAGACACTATGAATCTTTATGCGTCCAACAGGAATTCATTATACAATTGTCATGGTACTTCAATGGCCGAGTTACATACACGCTGGGTAATAATTCGACGTTGGTGTAAGAAGATTATAAAATGTTTATGAATAATGGAACGAAAAATACTATTTCGAGGGAGAGGGTTCAACTGAGGTGGTGGAGTTGAGAGGAGGAGGTGATTTTATTGGGATGGAGAGCGAACTGGGTGCTGGCGGGTTGGGAGGGTTAGCCCCTGGACGCAACTCAGAGGGGATATATAGGAATATATACATATACATACATATATATATATATAAATGGGGGCGAGGACTTGCGGGAACAATTCAGCGCATTAAGTTGTAATAACATTGGCCCCGGGCGCACACGCCGATCTCTCTTCAACATTAACCCCCGCCTCTCCGAAGAATACCATTGCGCAACCCGTTACGCAAAATTGCTGCGTCATGATCCACCCTTACCTATAAAGGTTCGTCTTACTTATTTCATTCTTGGAGATTTTTTATTCGCCAGGACTCTGTTTTCCTCAAGTGCTCCTTTCTCCATTTTTGTATGGCGTTCCTCGGATATAATTTACAAATACTGCGATTGTTACTTTGAATAGTTAAATTCTTGAAATTCCAACCGACACGGATTCGGACTCAGAAACCTTTCGCATGTAAATCGAGCACCTAACCAAAGGCATTTCCATCGGAAAAAATTTCTCCAAGTGATGAATTGAAGAATTTCCACTCTAATCCCTCTATTCACACGGCGAAATACAATAAGAAGCGAGGAATTTGATTTATGATCCTGGATTTCTAATCCAAAACTATAATAGCGAGGTATTTGGTATGAAAAATTCTTGGCTCGTGACTGTTGATCTTCACTGCATGAAACTTCCATTATTTTTACGTATCACAGGATTATGTGAGGTTGAATGCAAACAAAGTGCATTAGAGGGGACAGAAGGGCCCAGTTGCCGCCTGTGCTCTCTCCGTTATACTTCAAATTTCCTCTGGCCATTATTTCTTGGATGAACGGTAGATATTAACGATGGTTATCAATAGGTCGCGTGCGTAGGTTCGTTAGCAGGACTATTATTGGCAAAATATGACGAATCAATAACTGGCTCTACGTGATGATGCAGAGGACCGGTTACCGTCAAACCTGTCAAACCAATTTTACGATGCGCATATCATCCGTGTACGTTGGGTTATCTGATGATTAATCAGTACCTCTGTGTCACAGGCAGGTTGAAAACGCAATGAATAAACATCAAGACCCCCGAAAACAATGTTTTATGAATGAAATCTCCACTCTTCCTAAATCACAGATATGAAATTTATCAAGCACTCCATCTATTCCAGAACTAGATCGCGAAAGATGATTGAAAGGATTGAACTTGTAATCCCCCCATCAAGTTACATAATTCAGTATGAAAAATGTCAGCTGATTTATCGTTAACCAGTGTAAAATTATATTGAGGAAAATAATCTGAAGAACTGAAGACTTTCTAGACACTACCTAATCCTTTTCCCAGCGAATGTTTGGGGAGACCCAGCTGCATGGGGGATTTACCAGCTTCACGATTAATGAATGCAATATGCCACCCATATACCAAGGGATATTTTCGAATGAATTTCATGAACATCAGACTTGAACAATAATCCTGCTCATTCAGGTGATCAAATCCGTCTGGCAGTGTTTTTTGACTGAGCCAAAGTAGAGTGTACCCCACAAGATTTAGTGCAATTCTTATATTAATACGATTACCAGTGGAGCATTGACGGTAGCACAACAGCCAATGACATACGCTCATAAACCACCAGTGTGTATCGTCAATATTGTACCACCCACCCATGATTCGACGAGCTGGGCTTCCACACTATCATACCTGCAGCATTTCACCAAGCTTTTCCACCATCCCCTCTTTGGCACTGGCCGTCCGTTATTCCCATAAATACCATATTGCCCATCAACCTTTACATTCGATGCATTACCCACTCCGTTACTGTATTCGTTCACCTCCTTTCTGCTTCCTATTATCGAATCACCGGACAGTAAGCAACTTAACAGGCCACTCTCAACCAATCCTGTGCCCTTTCAACAATATTTTCATGCAATCAATATTTTTTCCCATCGAGATATTTTTGTTGTTTCGAGATACAGCGTGATTTTAGGTAGCAAGTTGATTGACTGGATCGGATAGCGACGAAAATTCAATCATAAATTTAAAAGGGAGGTCGAGCCTTTTTAAATAAAAATAATCCAAAATCCCCGAATTATCCTTCAACCGAATTTTCGAATTAATTATGAGAATAATTTCCATCAAATCTATGAATTCCCCTGGAACTTTTGCAAACTTCGCTCGGTGGTCAAATCAATTGATACTGTAATTACATAGGAAGCCCCCGAGCTCATCATCCGCTCGACTCTCTCTCTTTTCAATTCAGTTGAGAATTATTACCAATATAATCAATGACGTTCATTCCGTTATCATAACCTATCCTCCAATGCTCATAATGCTATGTACTTCATGTTTATTCCCGCCTGCAAACTCGGGGAATAACATCCAAACGCTGAATGTCTATCAAACCCCCAGCAGGTTTTCGACAATTTTGCACGTTCAAACGATTATTTACCGAGGCGTGAAATCCCTAGGTAATCGGAACAAATATATTTCTGCATTAATTATTGCGATTGTGGTTATTCACTGTATCTTCAGTTCATTTGGAAGCAGTCGCGTGCATTAGGGAGTGCACAATTCCATTTTGCATTCATCATATTTACATCGATGGGTCTCGAGAACATCACACTCCTGAATTTCCACATATTCACACGTTTTCACTCTCGCTCATCATCGTACGTTCTCAGAGATTTTCAGCTGACGCCATAGGCGCTGGGTCCCCTCTGTTTCGGTTCCCCTTTATTACGACCGGCCACCCCATCATTTCTCATCTTTTCATTTGACCCCAAATTTCCATCTTAATGATCAGCCTCTTGACTGTTAAAAATGGCTGACCATCAAGAGCGGAGAGTCGGGGTTGTACGACTGCATCCGCTGGTGACATTCGCCTGCCATCACAAACCTAATGCGTAACACTAGGAAATTTAATAATCCATCGTGGTGACATTTTGCTGTAGTTTTGTTACCAACGACTCGTCGTAACCATAACGAGAAATTTTACGAAGGACACGCTTGGCGCCAGCACGGTGGGCCCCACAGTCATGTCGTAATGCATCGCACACGGTATTACACTACTCTAGTCCCCTCAACAACCCCCGTCTGCTGTTCATTTTCCCCTTACCTAGTGTTATGAAGGGAGTGGAAAGGGGTTTTACA